AGCAGGAAGGCAATGGACTTTCGAGTTTCTTCCTAGCAGATCCTCATGGGATGACTCTGTTACATAGCTGAACCTCTCTGGTCTGGCACTCTCTGGTCCAGCAACATCCATGCGCCGGCAGGAGTTTAGTTCGCCGGATGGCCACTTACGAGTGTAGCCAAGTTTCCCGCAGTCCCATAAAGTTTGTTTCCAGCCACCAGTCCTGGCTCTGTGTTCTGTGCTGTTCTTTAGCTCTAAAATACCCCTACATGTTTTCTCAGAGCCCAGCAAGCAGTGGCAGTGTTGGTGATGCTGCTAGACAATCTCGACCTCCCGTCGTTCAGCAAATTTTCGCCGGATGGCCACTTACGAGTGTAGCCAAGTTTCCCGCAGTCCCATAAAGTTTGTTTCCAGCCACCAGTCCTGGCTCTGTGTTCTGTGCTGTTCTTTAGCTCTAAAATACCCCTACATGTTTTCTCAGAGCCCAGCAAGCAGTGGCAGTGTTGGTGATGCTGCTAGACAATCTCGACCTCCCGTCGTTCAGCAAATTCTCTGGTTCGGCACCAGTCAGGCCCCAAGGGTGCCGGACTAGAGAGGTTCCACCTGTACTACCAACCAAGCTGGCAACGGTAAGTAGCAGGGTGATTTCAAATCTGGGGCTTCTACGAAAGCTCCCTTGCTGAAGGAACAGTGAGGTAAGGTGAGTGAGTTCGTGTTTCATTATGATTAGTGTCTGTTACGCTAACAAGAGGGGCTACCTTTGTAACCACCACCAGGTGGATTTGAACCTGGGATTTCTGAAGCAGAGTATAGGAGCCTCTACCCTCTGAGCTAAAAGCCAGCTGGCTCCCAGCCCCTGCTGTAAAGGTCTCTTGGTCTTAGCTCTTGCTGTGGTCTAGGGGCCACTTGCATTGCTCAGTAACCACACTAAGGCTCCGTCTACACCGGCAGCTTCTTGCGCAAGAACTCTTTTGCGGAAGAGTTCTTGTGCAAAAACGCTTCCACAAAAGAGCATCTACGCTGCCATATGCCTTTGTGCAAGAGATGTGCTTTTGCACAAGAGCATCCATGCCAGTGTAGACACTCTCTTGTGCAAGAAAGCTCTGACGGCCCTTTTAACCAGAGGGGCTTCTTGCACAAGAAATTCACGTTGTCTGTCTACACTGCCCTCTTGTGGAAGAGCTCTTGCGCCAGAGGGCTTATTCCTCGTGGGGAGAGGAATAACTCTTCCAGAAGAAGCCCTGTTTTCCGACGCTAGACTGTAAATTTACTTCCAGAAGAACGCTCGTGCAGTGCAGACAGCCGGCACGTTTTTGCGGAAGAACGGCTGTTCTTGCGCAAGAGGCTGCCAGTGTAGACGGAGCCCTCGTGTGTGGGTTACACTTTGATTCTCCAGTGACTCACATCTCGTTTGAAAAGACCTGTCTTCTCATTAGGTCGCTCCATTGTGTCGAACAGGGCAGGTAGTCACTAGGAAGAATTCTCCAGTCCCTCAGGCGACCAGACGAGAGAAAAGTCAGTCAGGGCGTCCCAAACTTTTTGCCTGTGGGACCCCAGTTTGCCACTCACTGGTTCCTGTGACCCAGACAGCACAAAGCGACGCAGGAGGAATCCAAAGATCGCATATGTTGGTTTTTAATGAGCTTTCATGTGACCCAGGGGCTTGCCCCAGCCTCTGGCAGTCAGGCGGCCGGGGTCAAAATGGGCCTCCCGTCCTGGGTGTGCCATCGGCCATCCAGAGAGACGATGGGAAACAATGGCAGGACGTTTTGGCGAGCTGTTGGATTTCAGCTGCCCGCAGCAGGCTTGCCTAGGAAAGTGCGTCCGGGGGGCGGGGCTTGCTGGAGCGCCCCCCCCTTAATTGGTTAACCGGATAAACGTCACCTGAGGCCACTTGTCAAAGTGATCGTGGTGAGCTGTGCGGATGGCGGGGTCCACCCTAAGGCAGGTGAGGGCTCAGGGACTGAGGCCGGGGTGGAGGGGGACCCTCAAGGAGGCCATGAAGTGATGAGCAGGGCATTTGCCGTGGGAGCGGAGACACGAGGAATTCCCAAACTTCGGGGGGGG